TCCAGGTCTAATCAGGTAGGCGGACAGACGGATCATTAAGGTCAACCCTGTGCCAGTGATCCCACATCCCCAGCCCAGGCTTGCAGTACATGACTGGGAACCTGGGTTGCAGATCATGGGCCACTGCCTGGCAGGGAGGCGTAAATGCCAATTTTGTGTCCCCTCCACTGTATGATGCCAGCACAAGACCTTCTGGCCCCTCCTTGTGTACCTTATGCCTCCTACTTAGTCCTATCTTTAAGAGTCCTAGACTAAGCTAAATACCCCCTACTCCCTACTTCTCTTAGACCAGCCATACAATCAGACTCAGAGTCTGACATCCCCAGGTTGTGGTTGTCTGTCTCTCTGTCCATCTGCTTTTCTCCTTCCCACACTACCTTCTTGGCAGAATGCCCTTGGAAAATTAAACATTGCTTCCAGATAGAAACCAAACACGGGAAGAGAACTGTGCTCATTTATACATCATTAAAAATGTTAGGAAAGAGAAGAATCCAAGGTAACCTTTGTAAAGTAAAACAAAACAACAACAACAAAAAATACTTCTGTGGGGTTTGGTTTTTGTTGTTGTTTGTGGTGATGCTTTTCTTTTATTTGTTTGTTTGTTTGATGATAATATGTTGAATGCTGGTGGAGTTATGGTTAAGAAGGAATTCCCATTGTTGGTGGGAGTACAGTTTGATAGAACCTTTTTGAAAACTATTTGGCAGGATATATCAAGATGAAAGTCCTGGCCTTTGACCTGCTGATTTTACTTCCAGGAATTTATGCTAAGGAAACAATCGGTGGCACAGGCAGTGATCCACTAAAGAGATGTAATTGCAGCACTATTTGTAATAACTAAAGTGTGATGGTAATTTGAACATACATGGTAAGAGAATGGTTACATAAATCAGGGTATACTGTACAATACAATGCCCTCTAGCCATTTTTAAAATGTGATATCAAAAGCTATTTAGTGACATTGTAAAATCTTTATTAAGCAATTTAGAAAACATGCTGTTAACTTTGTTTGTAGTAATGTGCCCCCCCAAAAGTGAGGAAAGGAATATGATAAGATATTAATAGTGATTTCCAGTGGTATAAATTATGACTTCATTGCTTTTGCCCTCACTTTTTAGCATTTTTTAATTTTCTACAAAGCCATCTAGAATTGTGATTATCTGAATTTAGAAAGATTAATTTGCTTCTGTATGTTCAGCTTACCTCTCCAGTAAGAGCACCTTTCATCTCGTACCAGCTCCATGATCATGGCAGGGAGAGCAGAGAGGGTCTACCATATCCATCATCAGATAGGGAACCTGCCTACATATCCCTGTGCACAGCACAGGAGGCATGACCTGGCCACTGTACAGACAGCCCATCATTCAGGTGAGTCACCACAGAAGGGTGTCAAGCTGATGATATTGCTACATACTGTACTTGAACTGTCAGCCACAAGCCTGCATGCTGCCAAGCCTTTTAGCCTTATCTTCCTAAACCGTTACTCTTTCACTGTCCAGCAAATGTCAAAGGAACTGCCTGGGACTCTCTGACTCCTTTTGAGGACACTGTAGGCCAACAAACTACCGCTGATTCTAGCTTTCCAATTGGATGCGACCCAGACCAGCAAATGTTCTTCCATGCTAAAGTTGAAGCTGTTGTTGTTGCTGTAGATGGGCCTTGATGAGGGGATTTGGCAGAACCAAAACACAGGAATATTTAGGGCAAAAAAATGTTCTGGCCCCAGAACACCTAGCCTCAGCTCAGATACACCCAGTTGGACTGAGAGTTGTAGAGAAGCCTCTAAGGGTCATCTGCCAAAATTGTAGTTATAAAGTTATTTCCTCCTATCTTAACCTCAATCATTTGTTATCTTTGGCCTCACTGGGGGGGGGGGGGGAGGTTGAGAATTCTATATCAGAGGGTTTAGAACCAAGAGGGTTTTTTTTTATTTGCCTATTTTTTTTTTAATTTATATAGGGTGAGCTTTTTTGTCAGTTGTCATTTTTATGAGATTATACAGTCTTGGGCCATTATCATCATTCTTGTGCATCTTTTATACTATGTTATATGAGTTCCATCAGAACTAAAATATAATTTGCTCTGTGTCTCTTAGAGTGTTTATATGTACACAGGCCTTCTGTTTCTATAACCATCATTATATCTATAAAATATGCACTAGTATTGTTGATAGTCACATTTATGATATGTCTCTGAAGTACAAATGAATAAATGGCATAATTATCTGAGTTTTAAAAAATCATAGAAGTACTATGGTGTATGCATTTTATTGTTCTACTAACTAAAAAATAGTGGTAATAGATTTTAAACTGGTCATTTCAGAGCAAATAAATGTTATTACTATGACTAAAACACAAACAAATGAAATTCTATTTGGTTGTTAAAATTTTCAGCTGATACTATGGGCAATTGCTGTGGGGATTGAAGAGTAACTTCTTACAGTAGTTATGAATACCTTGTATTCCAGCTGTATCCCCAGATAATTTTAGCCATGTCCTACTGGCCAAGAACCACTTAGATATCTGAGGATGTGAAAAAACACTCCCAACCCACATTGTGTTCCCTGGACTATGTTCCCAACCATGCCTCTAGTTAAAGGCATAATTCTTCGTTTAGATGTGTTAGAAATCTAGAGATGTTTCCTACACATGGTAATTGTTTAAAAAACAAGTTCTGAGGAATTTTTAATTGTCCTGTGGTAACCACAATCAAGGGAACAAATTAGTCCAGGCCCGTCCACCTGGGCTGTTCTCTTGAAACTCCAAATTGCTCCTGGTCAGACTCTGGTGCCTGGGCTGGGCTGTAGTTGAGGAGTGATGCTCGGCCTTGCCTACTGACATTATTTAGTGGACAGGGTCATGGAGAGAGACAAATAAGAATGCGAGACCTCTCTTACCAGCATAGTACTACAGACTCTGTGGTGGATGTGAGGTGACACTGCTCCAAGACTCAAGACAGAGTCAACCAGAGCAGGTATTAATCTAATAATAGAGTAACATCCCTCAGCTGATGAATCTTACTGTCTTATATTATAGTTGTTTTTTTAAACAACTTTTTCCTATCTTGTCAGAGATATTTTAAGCTCTTTGAAGTCAGAGACCTTGACAATTCCATTTGTTGTCTTTATCAGTCTAGGTGCTCCAACATGAGTCTGCTAGATTGAAAAAAATAACTTAAATAAACATACTCTTTAAATTTAATTTCTTCCCTTATATGAATTCCATCTGTTATATGAATCTCCCATACAGAACATTGGAGGCAAGATTGTGGAGTTTGTTGGAATTTACAATGTGTTGAGTCTTATTGAATCTGTCTGTTGCTATATTCCTGTGTTCCCTTGCAAATGTGGTAAGTATCTAAAGGAAACTTGTAAATCGGTGGTTAAGAAGATTGCTAATGCTATGGCTGGCCCTGCAAAAAGGCTCGGCAAGCCTAGAGGAACGGAGTAAGCCCTCCTGTCCCAGTACCCTGGAAACAAGAGCCCTGGGCTTGGAGTCAGGGGGTTGGGACATACACTTTGTCCTTATCACCTATAGGCTGTGTGTCCCCAGGCCAGCCTCACCTTAGCCCAAGTTTTCATACCTGTAAAAGGAAATTTTAATAGTGCCTGTCTATGGGATTACTAGGTGGATCAAATGAGATTCATTAACTTATTGATTATTTATTGAATACCCATAGGCACTATTTTAGACATTGGAGATACAGCAATAAGCAAAAGAACAAAAGTCCTTGCTGTCGTGGATCTGTATTCTAGAATTATAATATAATAATGTTATTTAATAAATGCTTAATCAGATTCATCTAAGGATACCTGACAGACTTACACAATGAGATTTCTACCATATGAGTCCATAGATCTTTAGATAGGCAGTAGGTAATTAGAACCATGACTGGGTCTCATGTCTGAATTGGTATAACCCTACGGAAGTCCCGTTAAGTAGGACATTTACGTGTTCTTGCTAAATCCCAGGCTGCTTAGAAAATCTGTTGCCCTTGAATTGGATTTTTAATCGTTTTCACCTCCATGAAGTGCTCGGTCTAAACAGTCCAGCAGTTGGCCGCGTTCCAGGTGCTGCAGGTGGTGTTGAGCCTGGATGGTTTCCACATCTTCTCAGCTATTGTGTTTGTACTATTTGTAGCTTAAGGTGATTTCATGGAGTTGCTAAGGTGTTTATATAATTTGTCGGAATAAGTGAAAGAGCTAGCATAACCAATTAAAATCCACACACCATATTTTAGTCAGTAATTTCAACCTTTCCTTCCTCTCCAAACCTTTGATTAACTACCCATCAAAAAACAAATGGACAAATGTAAGGTTTCGGTTCTTTTTTTTTTTTTGTAATTGCCTTCCTACTGGGGCCTTTTCTTTGAGCATCAAAATGTCCAAAGTCCATGAAAGGAGAAAGGGCAGGCCTAGACAGCAAACCTCCAAGGAATTATACGCTGCCAGTAATTGCATGCGGTCTCCTAAGAAGTATGTGTTCATACCTGGTACCATGATTCTAATACAGTGCTTTGGATCTCCAATGGCAAGCAGCCCATTGAGTTAAAAATGTAAACAGGATACTGTTTTCTGGCTGAATGGCCTTTGTGGCCCAGAAAAATTGTCGTTTCTGCTGAGACATAATTTTAAAATACACACACAACAGTGGGAGCTGAAGTCTGATTATAAGCCAGTCTGTGTGAGAACCAGGTTGCTGAGAGAATGTTGGAGTTCATGAGGTACGATGGACATGACTGAAAATGCTCCTGTTACCTAGAGAGAGTTAGTTCTGCAGGAGAAAGAAACATGTCTGTGTTCCAAGGAATTACAGAAATGGATTCCTTGGAAGATGTGGAGGTCTGGTCTGGAGAAATTGTGACTTGGCACTGGCCACTAGTGCCTGGGTTTCAGTGCTCCCATGTTCTGGTCCAGCACCCTATCATTTGGCCTCCCATGAACCTCCTCCATTGTGGTTTCCCTGTGTGCTGATGAGAGTTCTGGTTGTTCTGTCTTGCAGCCCCCCGAATCCAAGCCCAACTTCACCCCTCTCGCCATCTTGGCCCATGTTCTCGGCGCCATCCAGCCCTATGCCCACCTCATCCACGTCCAGCGACTCATCCCCCGTCAGGTCTGTGGCAGAGTTTGTTTGGTTTTCTGTTGCTGCTGTTGTTCTCTCATTGGCTTGGTCCTCTCTTCATGCAGTGTTCAGCCTCCTCGTCAACTTTGTTCCCTGCCATCCAAACCTGCACTTGCTTTTTGACAGGCCAGAAGAAGCAGTTCATGGAGATTCCAGGTAAAACCACGGATGATGACCAGTCTGCTCCCATTTATCCAAAGCTGGTCAGGGACAACAGGGGCCTCCTCTGCTCTCCTCTGGTTCCATCCTAACAGACCAAAGCCAGGAGGGACCATTTGTATGGAACCACGTGACATTTTTCACTCCTTTTCTGACCCAAACTCAAGTCTGAATAAGGCTCCTGTTTAGAATGCTCTCCTAGTCGTTTGGGCTCTGTGTGCTTGACTATAAGCATACAAAGGAACAGTATTGAGATGCATGATGGCCTTTTCTTCTCCCATTTTTATCAGGTGACAGGCACTTTTTATTTGTGGAGCTGTCCCACAAGCCTTGAGTGCTGACACATAGTCTCTCAGACCAGATTCACTGGGTGCAACATGAATTTAACACAGAATAAAAGATTGAGACATGAAGCATTTTCTCTCTAAATTGCTCGTGGCCTTTCCGTCTGGCCCTCCCTACACTCTGGAAGTCATCTGGGCTCCCAGTCTGCTTCTGTCTCTGTGTGTCATGAACCTGAGAGCTGTAGGAATGAGCACCACCTCTTTGAGGGTGAGTGGCCTGACCTAGTTCTTCTCTGCAGGGGCTGTGCCGAATGATTTTCCCTGTCTTGGTGACTTTCATACTTAAGTGCCACAGTTCTTTGGTCTTGAGCTCTTTATAGAAAGGAAGCCCTTCAAATCCAGGGAGGAAAAATAAAGATCCTGCAGAATCTGTCAACTGTGTAGGACCTGAGCATGGCTGGTTCTGGAATTTAGTCCTTGCTTTCAGGTAACCAAACTATATAGCCCAGTTATAAATATCATAAGCATTTTGGGCTTTGGCAATATTTTCTTATCTATCTTTTCTACAAAGAGGTGAGTCAAGCAGACAGGCTTAAATAATTTATAAAGCTGACTCACTTTTTAAAATGGAAAAAAATACATATATATGCCTATTCCTATATAGAGACAGATAGATAGCTGTGCTTTATATAGCTGTGAGACATATATATATATATACACACATATATATACGTATTTATGTGTGTGTGTGTGTATATATATATATATATTCTTCCTCCTCAGCCCAAACTCTTTCCTCCAAACCCATGGGTAACCCCAACTTTAAATTCCCTTACAGCTCCCAGTCCTAGAACCTGGCTGCCACATTGATCTTTGTCCTAGATGATGGGAAAGACAGCTTTTCAATATTTTTTGTCCTCATTATATAAATATAAAAATTCAGGTCCTATTTCTCTGACATTCAGATGATTTCCTAATTATTTCTTAGACAATTTCTGGGTACTTTGTGAGACATTTACTTTCTAGGATACCAGAGATGGTAAGGATTGTTCTAGTTAGAGCGCTTACTGTCCCCATGAGGACCCAGACCAGAGCAAATTACAATGACCAGAGACAATCATCTTTTAAAAATGCCTCACTCACTCATTAGAGAGACATGGACATTAGGAGAGTGTGGCTCATCCATTTTTATCAAAAACAAGTAAAATTTTCAAAATATTGGCTCCTTGGGTAAAATGGATTGACTCAGGACAATGGAATCAGTGAGCTAAAAAGTGACATATACTATGATTTGATGGTGTATACTCTTTTGCATCCCTGAGCTGTGGGCCCTTTGCTTGTCAAGTATCTACCTCTCCACTACTAGAATATTATCACACACCCCCACCCCATTCAGCTACTCCTTTCTACCTCCCAGTGTATTTTTCAGATTGGCAGAGGAGACTATGCTCACCCCAGTGTGTTTGGGGATCAGGGTTACTCTGTACTGTCCCCTCTGATCATTGTTAGAATAGCAACATTTGGATGATCCACAGCCCTTAAGAAAGTTGCCATTTTGGAATAGGCAAGGCAGAAGAAGGCTTGGAATGGGCTGTCACTGAGCTAAAGTATGTGCCAAGGTAAGCAAGACAGGAATACTGCTGGAGAGTTAGCCCAGAAGAGGAACAGAGAGGATTATAATCCCCTAATTACTGTTGCAGTGTACAGCCAAGAGGTTTAGGCATATACCCATCATTCAGGTCCACTGGGTCTCTTCCCCAAATCTACTTCCAGAACATGAAACTTCAGATTTCCTTCCCTGGGGAAGGCTTTTAAAACTAAATATTGAGGGCTGGGGATTTAGCTCAGTGGTTTCACCGCCTGCTGTGCAAGTGCAAGGACCAGAGTTCAATCCCCGGTACCAAAAAAAAAAATTTAATTAAATATTGAGTAAGACCTAATTAATGGTCCTGTGAACTTCTACATGATGTCTCCTCTGGAAGTGGCTTCCTCTCCCCTCTTCACACCATTTTTAGAACTTGGTTCATGCTCAGGAATGAAGATGCCTTTTGTAGCACAGAGGAGCAAGGGTATTAGAAGAGCATCCCTTCTCATTTCCCTTCTTTCTCTAGCCCACCCACCTTTCAAGAAACCCCCAGCCCTATAGCCATAACTTGCATTTGCCCCTGGGCCCGGAAGTTGTGTCTTATTGATCAAGCCCTTGCAACCTGCCAGTCTAGTTGTTCCCTCCTCTAATAGTGCACATACTGGAGAGTGTATTGTCATTCTACAAGCTTGGAAGGGCATTTGAGGGAAACTCCTCTGAGTTCTTTCTTGGCCTCATGCCATTCTCAGAAGTGAAAATTAACAGTGAACCAGCAGAAGGATCCATACTTGCTCATGCCCTTGAAGGCCCAGCTGAGGCCCAAAGAGTGCTGAGACAGAAGCAGCTGACACTACCCCAAGCTCTCTGTGTTTGGTCTTGAAACTCACTGCAGAGAGTAGGCAGCCAAAGAACCAAAGATCCTTGGTGCAAATTTTTTACTGTTTTTAATCAGAGCCAAAGCCTACAAACACAACCCTTCTGCCAGCAGGATCTGTCTGTTTTGGTAGGAACCTTACCTAAAGCAACTCCTAAAGGATTTTGAGAGGGAGCTGTAGGGCATGGACTTGGGCTGATAAACATTTTAAAAGATAAGACTTTCCCTTGGGTGGGGTTGGAAGATTTAGCAAATAAAATAAAAATATAGTATACTCAATTAAATTTGAGTTGAGATAAACAACAAATAATTTCTTAGTATATGTATGTCCCATGTAATCTTTTGGATATGCATATATCAAAAAAGTATTCTTTATCTGAAATTTGGATTTAACTCAGTCTCATTTATTTTATCTGGCAACCCTACTCCTAGGATAGGAATGCACCTTTTGAAAGCACCCCTTCTAGGACTGGGGATATTGCTCAGTGGTAGAGTGCCTGACTAGCATGCACAAGGCTGTAGATTCCATCCCCAGCATCATAAAAAATAATAAATCATAATAAAAGTACCCTGTCATCCCTCCCATTTTTTGCACACCCTAAAGAAATGGAGAGAGGTCTCATGGGAAAGGACTGTCCCAAAGACTACTGGTCACCTGTGAAATTAGTGGGAAAAACATCCCCTGACCTTTGTTTTTATTTTTAGTGAATTATTTTCTTGTTATTTCATTATTCAATTCTAAGCGCCTAATATTAGTGGAAAGTTACTCCTTTTGAATGATCATCTTGAGCACCCAAGATCATTCCCTGTGCTTTCTGCCTGCCAGATACCCTTGCTGGTTTCTCTGGTTTGTCCCTGTTTTCTCCCATTTCCTTTATTTAACAAGGTTAATAAATAAGCTCTACAAAATGCAGCCAAAGGAACCTTGCCTTCCCTTGTCTCTGCACTTTACCCACCTGTTCTGCCCTGTCGTCAGGAGTCCTTGAAACCTGGTCTCTAAAACCTTGGCTTCTGTGGCCTGGATTATCTTCTACCTTCCATGTCATTACAGGGTCCATTTGCCTGCCATTATAGGTTTTTGGCTGTTCTGGTTCTTTTTACAGGCAGATGCTTCCTCTTCTCTGCTCCCCACCCCTTAAAGAAAAAAGACCCCACCCCCCTTTGGAAATTTGCACATTGAATGCTTGACCCTTACTAGCCAACATGTAGACTTTGGTTAGATCACAGAAAATGCCCCTTGTCCCAAACTATTCTTTAAAAATAGAAGGAAGAGCTGTTTTCCAGTTGGAGGTGATGAATAGTGAAAGTTTCTCACCTTCATTCCCACTGGCCCCATTCAATTTTCTTCCACTTTCCCAATTTTCTCACACCTGGCTATCATCTCTTAGTTACTAGAATATCAGAGAGAAGAACAACAGTAAACTTGTTTCCCTGACAACAAATTCTGGATAATCGTTTACTCACCCTGCTGTACAACAGACTCTATGTGATTTGATTTGATTTTTTTTCCTTCCATTTTCATGGATTCACGACTGGAAGGTTTAGATGCTTGGACCTGCTATAGGTTTCCATCAATTTGTGCCTCTTCTTTCCCTAAGGAAAGCTGTACTTGTTGATGCCAAGAAATAACAGTTCCACAATGACCCAAGATGTCTTGGCTTAACTGATTCTATCTGGCCTTACCTGAGACCTTATACTTCTTCAGCCAAGTCCCATTCAGCCACTAGAAATCAGTGTATCCTGGGAGCTTTAAGCACCGCTGGCTCCTTGAGGCACTCCATGAGTCAGGTGATAATAAAACAAACAGCATATATCCCTTCAATAATTTTCTAAACCAGAGGACCTCCTTACCTTTTTTTTTTTTTTTTTTAATTCTGCCTCTGGGCCCCTTAGTGTACTTTTTCAGATGACTTGGAGGAAGAAGACCACTTGTGGCAAATAGCCAACTTTTGAAAATGAAATTTCACTGTGACCCTTGAGAGGTGTATAGGCTGTTTGGAACTAGCTAGATACCAAAGCCACAATTGACAGAAGGTAGCAGGATTTAGCAGCTTTTAAAAATTACTTTCTAGAACACAAGTTAACATACTGTGGCCTGGGGTAGGTCAAGTCTAGCCCCCTGCCTGTTTTTTATAAATAATGTTTTATTGAAACACAGCTGCACTGATTCATTTATGTTTTGTCTGGAGCTGCTAACATGCTACAGTGCTGCATTGAATGGTTGCAACAAAGACCATATGGCCCACAAAGGCTGAAAGAGTTACTGCCGGGCCCTTGCAAAAGAAGTTTGCCAACTTCTGCTCAGCCCAGGTTGCATATGAGAATCAGTTGGAGAGTGATGCCTACCGAATATTTGGGTTTGGTTTTGTTTTGTTTAATGCTGATCTCTATTTTGTTTCTGTAAGTTAGTAGAACCTAGACATCTGCAATTTTTAGCTGCTCCCCAGCTGATTTTGATGCACAGTGAGAGTGGTTGTTAACATTTACTGGGCGTGAGGACAGAAAACAAAACCAAAAAGAAAGACATATCCTGTCCCTTCTATCTCCCTCCTTCCCAAAAGCCTGTGTGTGCTCATTTACATACATATGCAACTGCTCTTACACACCTTCTCCATTCTCTACCCTACCCTGGGGGCTGGGGAGTTACAGCTCTGGAATCCTGCCCCACCAGCAAGACCCAAGCTAATGAGAAATGAGGAACATCTGGGAGAGCTAATGTCAGCCTATGGCCTGGAGCTGAAACCTGGCTTTGCTGGAATCGCTCCTTGATTAACTGAGCCCTGCCAACTTCCAAGAGTGCTGGGAGTGTTCTCCAGAGCAGCTTGGACAGTTCTTCCATCCCCCTCCTTCCTCCCCTCCCACAAGGTACTTCTGCTCCAGAAATGGGGTTCAGCTACCCTCCAACATTCAGCTGTTGTAACTGCCAGGTAAAGTTTTAATGTGGCACAAGGTGACTCCTCAAGAAGTGTGCTTTCTTGAAACTTACAGCTTTTCTCTGAATAGTTCTCATTTTTCTCCCATGACCTTTACAGTGTTCCTACTTCATGTTTTACCATCTGGCTGCCTTGTCAGGCTCTTCCCATGAGACAGGACTAGGTGGCTTGCAAGGAAAGGGAAGAAGAGACATGAAATAGCTGGGACTTTCTGCAGGTTGAAAAAAAATGTTAAATAAACTCCTGTTTTCACACAGCACACCATTCCGGAAGGCAAAGGCCTTGTACGCCTGCAAAGCTGAGCACGACTCGGAACTATCCTTCACTGCAGGCACAGTCTTTGATAATGGTGAGTTTCTCATCCCCTTGCAAAAATCTCTGTGCAGGGCTATGCCTATCTAGGGAAAAAAATCTCAATAAAATGGGTAAGATCAAAATAGAGTGAATGAATGAGTGTGTGTGCCTGTCTATGTATCTTTTTCCAAAATAAGAGAATTACAGTAAGACTTCTAGAGGCATTGTCAAGAGTAGACAAATATTATCAGCAACCCATTTAATTGTTATGAACATTCAGCAAGATTCAACCCAGTACCTGGCATAACTGGCAGTTGCTTTAAGAATCTGGGGCCTGGACAGAGGGTAAGAGAGAAAGGAGTGGAGAACAGGATGAGCCATAGTTGGTCAGAAGGTCAGGGTGACAGGTTGAGACCACCTGCTCTGTCCTTTTCCTCTTGGGTTTGGTGGATCCACTCTCCCAGCAGGGAAGCTGTATTTTCCAGATGCCAGGGCACTTGGCAAGCTCTGAGGCACTGAGTGCACCGGGTTCCTGTTCATCACTCTCTCACTTCTGGGATCATAGGGCGGACTACCCCACTGTTACATCACCCTACAATGCACCAGCTGTCCTGTTTCACTTTCTGATATGAGAATAGAATCATCACTCCTCATAAAACTGAGTTCTTGTATTTGCTTCATGCAGTCTTTTGTGTCCCTTTTTGTTTTCCTCTTTAAGACATATTTTAAGTGAAAAGTGATGTCATAATTTGCTATAATTTATCTTTAACCTACAAGGAAAATCTGTATTCTGTTGATAAGCCCAAATTTCTGGGCAGCTGAGTTCTTCCCCAGATGAAGTTCTTCTTTGAGATTAGGCCTCCTGCATCCATGGGGAAAAGGGTTGTTTGTTTTCCTCAAAGTAGGAAGCAAAGACAGCTGCCAGGTTTCAGAAACTGGCTTTTTCTCCGGCTACTTCCCTGGCCTCAGGTGCCGGGGCAAAGGCCTGGGAGTGAGTGAATGGTGCACCAATCAAACCCTTTCCATCCTGGCTGTATCCCTGCCTTGGTCTGGACTCCACCTCCTCCCACCTGACAGAGCCAGCAACACAGGCAGCCAAGGTGCCTGCATATTGCTGGAGCGCCTGAACTCTAGAGGCAAGCCAAGGTACAAGTCCCAGTTTGACCATTTGCTCTTATGTGACCTCAAGCAGTGGCAACCTCTCTATGCCCTAGTTCTCTCCTCTGTGATGGAAACTTAACTCTGCCTACCTCAGAGTGTGTCAGGAAGAGGGAACTGAGATGATACACATCACATGTTTCAAACGGTACTGAACACATATTACACATTTAACATGTTATTATTGCTAGGATCATTATCATTGTTATGTCCTCTTTAGGAAAAGAGCTTGACACTACCGGGGTTCATTAGGACAGTGTTTCTTTTTTGGCTAATGTGGCCCAGGCCTGGCTTCCGGCTGGGCAGTAGGTGCTGCACACAGACTCCCTGGGTCCTGGCTATGTGGAAGGGCCTTATATTCCAAGCCAGACCCGAGTAGGCCCCTGTGACCAGCCTTTATTTACCCACATTTCAAGGGTTGCCTGGTAGTGAGATTATTAACCAGGTGTGGCATCATGGGAAGCAAGGGACAGAGGGTGGTGAGTTCCCAAGTGACCCTCAACCCCGGCCAGCAGGCGTGGGGGTGAGCTTAGAACTGCATGGGCCTGCTGAGCCCGTGTCCCCTGTACAGTTCTCAAAGCTGTCAGTGCACTCTCCTGAAACCTTTGCCTTGTCCATGTCCACTTGGGTGCTTTACAAGTCAGAGTGCAGAACAGCCGGCCCAGCCTCTCCTGTCAGCAGCTGCTGCTCTCAGGCCCTGGCGCACTGGCAGGTGCAGTGGGTCTGTGAAGGCTGTCACTGGTGAGTGTCCCCTGCATAGACTTAGGTGGGGAAGCCACAGCCCAGCCATAACATGACAGCTTTCACTACAGGCAGACCAGAACAGGCTGTGTTGTTTGGTTGTTTGGGATTCTGTGCTCTGCCATAGGCAGAGGAGGGGCTTCTGCCCATAGGTGAGCAAGGTCTGAGAAACCCTCACATTTCCAGGTGAATCTAGGGCTTATGACTCTGTCCTCTAAGTTCCAACTCACTGCTCACAGAAGGCACCATGTTCCTATAAACTGTTCACTCTGACCACACAGAAGACCCCTGATGGGGCTGGTTTAAACTATCAAAAGGTATGCATGTGGTCTGTGTCTTACTTGTGACTCCTTTTATTGAATGCAGCCTTTTTCCATTTTTTAATGGCTTGAGATATCCACATACCATACAATATACCCATTTAAAATGTACAACTCAGTGGTTTTTAGCATATTCGGAGTTGTGCAACTGTCATCAGTATCTAGTTCCAGGATATTTTCATCTGCTCCCCACCCCCCACATACACACAAAGCAATCCCATATCTCTTGGCAGTCATTCCCCTTTGCCACTAACCCTCTTCTGTCTAGTCCACAGGAACCACTCGTCTAGTTTTCGTCTATAGATCTGCCTGCTCTGGGCATTTCATACAAATAGAACTATAAATGTGTAGTTTTTATAACTGGTCTTTTTCACTTTGTATAATGTTTTCAAGATTGATTCACGTTGAACTTCATGCCTTTTTATGGCTGAATAATACTCCTTTGTGTGGATGTACAATTTAAACATTTGTCAGTTGCTGGATATATTAATTGTTCCCACTTTTTGGCTATTATGAATAATACCACTGTGCATGTTCATGTACAAGCTTTTTGGCAACATATGCTTTCAGTTGTCTTGAGGATATACCTAGGAGTGGGATTCCTGGGCCATACAGCAGCTCTGTGGTTTTTTTGCTTGTTTGTTTGTTTGTTGGTACCGGGGATTGAACTCTGGTCCTTGTGCTTGCACAGCAGGGGGCGAAACCACTGAGCTAAATCCCCGGCCCTAAATACTGTGGATTTTTTTTTTTTTTTAACCAGGGATCGAATGCTCTGTGTTTAACTGTTTGAGGAAATGCCATCTGGTTTTAGAAATAGGTTGCACCGTTTACATTCCCACCCCCTTTAATTTTTATGTTACCTTTTTTAAGTAGTTTAAGTAGTTAAGAAAAGAGAAGAAAAGAAACCTCGATGATTTTAACTACCAAATTGTTTCCTTCCCTGCAGAGTGCTGTACCTGGCAGCCTGTGAGGTCATTCCCACCCTACAGCTTGGTAATCAGCATAAATCCTATAATGGTATACGAGAGCAGGAGAGAGGTTTGGTTAAACGAGTGAGAGCCCTTCCTGTGATTTCTGGGAGTCACGTCAGAGTTCACTGACTAGTTTAATCAGCCATGCTAGTGACATTTCAGATTCCCTGAAGAGCAGGGCCAAATTAAACCCAAAAGGAAGAACCACTTGGTGTCAACTGAGCTGCAGTCAAAGAAGAATCTGACAATGTTAATCCACTTTCTAGAATGGTTGAGTGATATTTTATTAGGTCCAATTTTTAAAGGAAAAGGCTGTGTATATCCTATTCCCACCTCTCTTCTCTTCTGTAGGAGAAAAAATTACCACCATGTTAGGTACAGGGTCTTTTTCCTTGTTGTATTTTTCACTAGTTTAGTGCTGGAGATACTAGGTAAGGGCTGTTTAATTTCGATGCTCTGTTGTCAGTCCAAGCAGAAGAAAGTTTCTGAATGACAGGTTTAGGTCACACATGCACACACTCTTGACTTGTTGTATATGTTGTGTTTTGTGTATTTTCTTTTTTCTTTTTTTTTTTTTTTTGACACCACGGATTGAACTCTGGACCTTGCGCTTGCAAGGCAGACATGGTACCACTGAGCTAAATCCCCGGGCCTGTATTTTCTTTTTTAGAAATGAGGAGGAAGAGGAAGGAGCACATGGAGCTCCTGTTGTCTGATGAGGGTTAATGTCTCAGCCTTTGGATTCCAGGGGCCTGTGCTGTGACTCCAGAGCAGCTGCTTAGTCAGCTCTTGGACTTCGTGCAGTGGGGCATGGACGTGCAGTATTCAGAAATAACTCCACTGTGAGCCCTTGCCAATCTACTAGGAAACTTCGCTTCACCAAGAGCACCTCAGATAGAAAGAGGAAAGAGAAAGAACTCATTTTCTCAGGAACATTAGTCATCTGGAAGCAGTGTGATTAGCTATACCTGGAAAACTTGTATGGGCAGTCACTAAAATTGAGTTCTTGGGATACTTTTATCTAGATGTGATGAGCTGGATCCCTGCATTACTGTGTGCAGGCTGCAGCACCAGGGCCAGGAAGAGCTGTCCCAAGGTCTCAGTCGATGGGGAGCAACCTCACCAGGGAACCCTGAGCTGCTCAGAAGTGGGGTGATGCGAGAGCTCCTCAGGGAAGTCTTTCAACCTCCTCACTCTCTCCATTGCCACACCTGAGCCCAAGCCACTTCCACCTTTCACCTGGGCAGTTCCACTGCTGCCCAGCAGTTCTTGTCACTTCCACTCTTACGTTTTGTCCATTCACTACACAATGAAAGATAGAAATCACATCATGTTGCTTCCCTGCTTACAGTGGTCCAATGACCTCCAGATTCTCTGAGGATTATTTACAAGGCCATCCGTGGCCCAGCTGCTGCCCCTCTGGTTTCCTCTCCCCCTCACTTGACATCCTACAACCTCACAGGTCACCTTTGTGTTCTGAAATAGGGTTTAGCAAACTTCAACCTGCCAGGAAAATCCAACTTGCCACCTATTTTTGTAAAAAAGTTTTATTGGAACCCAGCCACTCGCCCCTTTTTGTGGGTGAGTTATCTGTGACACTACAGTGGCAGAGTTGAGTAAGAGAGACACCTTTGCTATCAGGCCCTTTATGGAAAATTTACAGGCCATGGTTCTGATACCAGACCAAGATTTTCCACATTGTAAAGCCTTTCCATTTGCATTACCCACATCCTGCTGACCCTTTTGGATCATTTAAGTTTTAGCTTTTTGAGCTTCTTCCTTTCTACCCAGATTCCTAATCCCAGTTGGAGTTAGTGTCTGCCTGTCTCTCTGTGCCCCCCCATCACTACTTAAAGCTACATGCTTATTTATTGATTGTCCCTCCCCAAGAGCAGGATCTTGCCTCTTTGTTCTGTATTATATCAAACAACCTAGCATAGTGTCTCACACATGGTGGGAGCTCAGTAGACATTTGTTAAAGGAGTAAATGCATTTTAACTACACTGATGCCTGCAGCTCTTACAGTTAGGGCTTTTTCCCATGAGGACAGTCAACCGTTAAGATCTTAGTCACCCACTTGTTCCTTATCCTCAGTGAGCCAAGGAGGGGAGAGAGCATGAGTTGTGAGTTGTGTATGCAGGGATGTATGATATATCCAAGGATACAGCTGAGGGAAAGTGGTTGGCAGGAAGCACAGTCATGTCAGTAGCAGCTTATGTTTGTTATATGCTTGCTGGGCTGGAGAGCCACCTAGGCAGCTTGCAACAACACTCTGTGTGTTTATATAGACACTAGTACAATTCAGAGTGCTGATCATTGGGCACAGTACAGCCCACCAAGCACTTACTGAGTGTCCTCGATGCTCAGAGCATTGGATTAGGCAAAGCTATAGAGGTTAAGACCACAGACTCTGAGGTGAGTTGTCCTGGGCTTTAATATACCTCCAGGATCTACCAGCTATATAACTTGAGGCAAGATACTTAACCTTTTTGAGCCCCAGTTTCGCCATGGTAAAATGAGATAATGTCAGTGATTCTAGTCACTTTGAAGAGGGAAGAAAGTATGCCGGTGAAGTACTTATTAGCAGAGGGCCTGTCGATAAACACGTGTACCACATGTGTATTACCATTCTTCTCCTCAAGGAGCTTGTTCTCTGGTTGAATTGGGGCAGGATAAAGTGGGAGAGAAAGGGTTTGGTTTCTCAAGTCAGGCAAGCTAGGTTCAAGTTCCTGTTCTACCATTATAACCATGTACCAATTAATTTACCTCTCTGAGCCTTACTTTCTTAGCTGTAAAATAGGAATGATAGCAGTACAAGCTAGGATTGTGAGGATCAAATGAATTAGTAATCTAAAACTTTGAGCACATGGCAGCTTGGCAGTCAGCATTTCTTTCTTTTTTTTTTTTTTTTTTTTTGGTACTGGGGATCGAACTTGGGTCTTTGTGCTTGCGCAGCAGGCAGCGAAACCATTGAGCTAAATCCCCGCCCAGCAGTCAGCATTTCTAAGTGTTGGATTTTACCACTATAATTCTCAAGGTAGAGAGGAACTCTCTGTCAAGCCAGAGGGTGCTGAAACACAAACCAAAATGCATTGATAAACTGGATAGAGAAGCAAAGCTTCACATTTGAGCACCTTATTAATAGGACCCAAGAATACTATGTGGGATGTACTGTGAGGCTTCTAGGAGTCTGGAGGAAGAAGGGAGCAGGCAGAAGCAATTCCATGATGCTATTCACGAACGAAGTGGGGCTTCAGCTAAGCCTTAAAATTGGAAGACAGGAAACAGAAGACAACAGGAAGAAGGGGGACATTTGGGGTTGCCTCCCTCCTGCATAAGGTAATGGGAAGTTAGGTTTTATTCTTATTACCACCTTTATTATTGAGGCATTTTGGCACAGAAAAGCCATAGCTCTTAACTCTGAACCAGTTAAAATACAAGCTTCTGGGCCCTACTACCCAAGGTTTTTCTTTAATTGATTTGCATGTGACTTGGGAACCTACAGTTTTAATAAGCATCCAAGTGATGGTGGTGTACATGGTCTGGCATGATGCTGAGCTCAGTCCTGGTTGGAAGACTCCAGTGAGTCAGCAGACTGACCCAGAGTCTGGTTTATCCCCTGCTGTCCCATGTGACATAGCTCTTGCTTCTAGATAAAGGGCCTTTCTTGTCCCCTCTGATTCTTCCCTTAGTCTGCACATTCCATTTCTAATGTTTGTATGTGTCACCAGCTCAATACCTGTGCCTCTGAACAGCTGCCCGGGAAGGGGGAAGTGACTGAAGGAGGTGGAATTGGTGCACCCGCAGAGTAACAACTCAGCAATAAGCCTTGCTGTCCAGTGAGAGAGGTCTTTTTTGTTGTTTATTTTATGCAGTTGGTTGGTTGGTTCTTTTCTAGGTCATTTGTTTTGAGCAAATGAGTTTGATTTGTTCATTTTGGTTGTAATGTTCAGTGGATGTGGAGACCAAGTCTTCACCCGGCTTGTGCTAGGATGATTAAGTAGTCTGTGTGACTGGTCACATAATGGGAAGTCCCCCACTGACTGCCCCGTATTTGGCCTTTACGCTGTGCCTGGCTTTGTGCAGAATGCTTTGTCCATGTTGACACCTTGAATCCTCACAAGAGCCCACTTAAGGGGAGAGATTTTACTGTCTCTAGGCAGTAGAGACATAGGCATAGGAATAGAAGTAGTCTTGGCAGCTTCCGTCAAGTAGAGGGTAAGGGTATTTGGGTGTTATTTAGGGGCGGTCCAAGAGGGCTTTGGTAACGGGAGAGGTCAGGTTGCTTTGAAGTTGTGTACGTACTTCTGCAGCACTTCTCTCTAGACTCTTGTGTGAGTTGCCATGGATCCTTGCTATCGAATCCTTGCTACTTTGACTTTAGTATTAAAGCCAAGTGATAGGAAATTGTTTGAGATTTTGGAGGCCAACTAATAGCTGTTTGACTTTGTGTTTTCCTAAGGAAGCATTTGAGGTCTATACAAGTTTGACAGTGATCTTCTATAAGCCTCAGTACCTGTCCTTTGTCTCCCTACCCTTTTCTTCCTTTGATTTCTGTTCTTTCCCGGCAAGCCAAAACTAGAATTACATAGTGGTGTTGGGACGGAAATGCTTTTCTAAAACAAGCTCAGGAAGTCACTTAATTAGCCCAGGAAGGGAACAGGGGAAATTCATTCTCTCCAAACAATCTTGGATAATTGGAGTTTTCCTAATACATAAAGAGTAAATGCCCCAGAGTGATCTCTTCATATCTCTGATTCACAATATCTCTGATTCACCTCCTAGTTCCATTATTCCTTCTCCTCCTTCCTGCTATTGACTACTTTGCAGACTCAGCTGAATTTTTCTATAATCTTTATAATGTCACAGTGGTTTCCATGGAGATGGATTGTGATGTCACAGAAATGGATCTATATTCTTTGGATATTGAAAAATCGAAGGGACAGCAGCTTTGAAAATTGCAGTAGAAAGAGGAAGAGGACAGCTAGATGATATACAGGACAGAGGGAAATTCTAGAGTACTGAAAGAAAATAAGAAAGAACCTGAGTGGAGCAGAAGAAGAGCATTCAAAAGCCATAAAATGGGGCTGGGGATTTAGCTCAGTGGTTTTGCCGCCTGCAATGCAAGTGCAAGGACCCGAGTTCAATCCCCAGTACCAAAAAAACAAAAACGAACAAACAAAAAGCTCTAAATGAAAAGCAGAAAGCACAGAAGGACTTTGCAAGAAAATTAGAAGTGGAAGAAAAGTAAGATGCATAATTAAAAGCTAGATATCTATAAGGACTGGTACTTACCGGTCCTCCACAGGCACTCCACTGGATTCATAGTTGATATCAAGCAGGTATGTGGGTACCTGTGTGGATAGGTGGATGGATGGATGGATGGGTTATTCATATAGATGGAGGTTCGAGGTCAGCCTAAAACATATAAATGTGTCATTTATAGTTTAAACCAAGAATTTCAGAAAGTCTATGAAACTCCTAAAATTGCATGCAAAATTTTGAATTCTGTTTTCCTTTTTGTTGTGGAAAAACATCAGGGCAGCCTTCAGTCAGAAGATTTAGATGCCACAAAAGATTAAAAGCCTCTGATTTAAACAAACCCTAGAATTGTATAATGTAACAAGTGATTGCATTCATTCCCCAAACTTCCTTCCCACACATACACACCCCACAGCACACAACCTCCTGCTCTGTCAGTATCATTGTCTCTCTTCTCTCTCCTTTTCCTGTACAGTTCATCCATCCCAGGAACCTGGCTGGTTGGAGGGGACTCTGAATGGAAAGACTGGCCTCATCCCCGAGAACTACGTGGAGTTTCTCTAACCATGGGCCCCAGCAGAACTGCTGAGCTTTACATGGTATCCATGAGAACTGCTGATTCCAGTGTTGTAGCTATTTCTTGTTGCCGCTGAGAAATGCAAGGAGACTGACTCTTGCTACCTGTTAACATGAATGTTTCTGGAACTCACGTCACCTACCTTCATGATCATCTCAGCTGACACGTGACAATACTGCAAGCAGCAGAAGTCATCAGGAAAGGAGGCCATTCCATTTTGATAATCTAGAGAAAGGCTTGCAAGGCATTCTCATGAGTATCCTAAATAGAGAATGCTGAATTTGTTTCAACAGTCATCCAAACTCCCAACCTTCTGAAAAATAAAGTAAGATATAAGTTGTCCCCAAGAGCACACAGTGTAGCTGAGTTTGACAGGGCAGGGCAGAGAAACTGGCAGGGAGATCCAGGCTGGCTGCATTGCTTTTGTTTGCACCTGACACTCTTTCTGTGCCCACTCCTGCTATTGGAGACCCACACTGCAGCAGGCAGCTGGGTCTGTCTGTCTGCAGGCAGGATGGAGATGCTTATGTGAGATCAGATTTTTCACCATCTGTGAAGCAGCCATTGGCCCATCATCAACAAAATTCCATCCAGCCTTTTCGTGCAAAGGACCAAACACCCCACATCCTCCCCTTCTGAGCTAAGAACTTCTCTGCCACTGAGGGCTGCTGTTGCCTAGTAACTGTGGCAACTCAACTTACTCTAAAAGCAAACCAAAAAAATACCACATTCTCTTTGTGTGGCATACTTCCCCTATCCCTGCCCTTTTTGGTAGTTTTGTTAATGGCCTTCCAACAACCTAAACCAGAGGATCAAGGTATTAGGATGGGCTATTTGGGGCAGACAGAACTGTTCACTTTCTGAATTTCAGCAGCACCAGGATATATTTAGAGCAAACTCTAATAATGCTTTGAGATTAAATTACATACAGGCTTAATATTTCTGTTGTCCACACAACTAGTGTTTGCTTTAGGGGCCAAGAGGGCACCTTCCAATGGGTACACCATCTGACTGGTTCCCCCATGACTTCCCCTTCACTCATCCCTGCCCCTACCCTTCACTGACCAGCCCTTTGGCAGTGCTTTGGGCTGCTGAGCACTGGTGTCCTTGATTTTCAGGGATGATTCTGGGGTTTCCCTATGATCTATAGTTTAAAGGATATCTGCATTCACTGCCACCCGGAAAAAGGCAATTTCAGGCTTTTGAGACATGAAATTAATATCACAGGCTTTGTGACTCAGGAAGACACAAAAGATTGGGGCATGGAGACTGGGATAATACCTTCTAAGAAAGGGAATTCTTGGTCACGGGGGACTGGGTCTTGTGAGAGTCTGCCTTTTGTGGAGATTTCCACCTGGACATTTCAAACTCACTTGGCCTCCAAAGAACAGAGTGACCATATCTCCCACACATGAATGTCCTTGCAAGAGGGACTCTGGACGGACAAACTATAAACTGTCAAGTTCCCCAGGAGGCCCTCGGATAGCTGTGTCACTCCAGGGAGCATTTCCTGTTTCTGGAATTCCGTTAGGGACCTTTAATGAAGAAGAAAAGGAAAAACTTGAATTGTGTTGAATTACTGTATCTTTTACTTTTCTTTTTAAGATAAACTTGTAAATAGAGTAATTTGAAATACTATATGGCAAAGTTTTATATTTGAAATTCTTTAAGCTAGTTGCTCCACACATTTAGGCTTTGATTGCTGGACAAGCGTGTTAAGAGAGGGAGAAGGCCAGGTTGAAGAGCCAAAGTTGTGGTCCCCTCTCTGGGCTGGTGGAAGAAGATAATCCTGTGTGCTCCCTCTCTGTGGACTCCCACTGGTGTGTGTGGCTGATCAATGGTGTTCAGTCTTCTCTATCTACATGTGTGAAGAATTCCTCGAGCTTTGAATGTAGAGATAGAAAGAACATCTTCAGGCAATAAGTGTTACAAAGGACACTTATTAAGCAGGTAAGATGAAGCTCAGGATTTAAATAAGTGGGGCCAAAGGTGACTTTTTTTTTTTTAGTTTTTCTTCTCAGGTGTATTTCTTGGTTCCCCAAGATATCAGGACAAAAGGAAATGGGACAATTGCTGTACTCCTTAATTTCCTCCACATCTTCTAAGGCTTTATAAGTGAGGCCAACCTAGTTTGCAAATTCTGTGTGTGTCTATAAGTTCTAAAAAAAAAAAGCCATGGCTTTGGATCTTTAGTTCTTGATGTACTGTGCTGCTGTTTCCATTCAGTAAGTGTGTTCCTGCTCTTTCAACTCCAGATTCCCTATGACTCCCCAAAACAGGAAAAGACCCAAGATAGATACAGATTGTACCATTACAACTTTGTTTTTTTGGTACCGGGGATCGAACTCGGGACCTTGAGCTTTGTACCATTACATTTTTAAAGATGGCTTTAAAGTTAACAGATTTTGTCATTGTGATTCACTATTCAATTATCACTTCAAAGATTATAAAGTACCTGTTATCCAAGACCTCACCCAGGAGCAAGGAAGACACTACTATTGAATTAGGGAACAGGGACGGGAACAAGAATTAAGTGTGGACAGGACTCAAGAATACTATCACTGAAAACCCAAGGGAAAAAATAAATGGACTAATAGGTGCCAGACCTATTCCCCTTGGACTTGGGAATGAGAAGAAAGTGGGAAATGGAGCTGAGGAGCATGCATGCTTACATATCATTGTGTTTTTAGAAGAGCCCAGCAAAATGCTTTTGATACATTTGACACTCTAAATTGTCACCTGCTCCATCATAATTGGAGCTCATAAGGAGAGTCAGAAGGCCAAGGCTCTTACTTAGGGAATTTCCTTACTGAAGCACACTTGTAGACACTTGGCCCCAGCTTGCCTATTTGGAAGCATGTGCCTCCTGAGTTGTCCCTGATTGGGACATCTTATAGGAAGACCTCTTCCCTACTTCCCTAAGGCCACGCTGGGCCTATGGCAGGTGGCTGCTCTGTTTTCCTTTGTCTCTCCAGGCTTCCTTCTTTTCTGTTAGCTTCAGAACTGGAGAAACTATTCAGAATGTGAGCCACCAAGTCAGAAGGAACTTGAAGATTAAAAAGAAATTTTACTCTCTCCAATATCTGCCCCCACTCCTAATTCTGCTTAAATAGGGAATTTTAAGGCAGATTAAGAGAATAGACTGGTATCAGAATAGAAAACCACCAGGATTCCAAATCCGGTCCTTTGTGAAGCCTAGGAATCAGTTAGTTGTAGCTTCAATCTTCTTGGGGCATTAAGTTCTGTGTCTCACTCCTCCTTGGAGTACTCACAGAATTCCATATCTAAACAATATCATGACACGAGAAGATAGCTAGTTTCTAAAACATACTCCCAGGCAAGTAAAATCCTGATTTACTAAGACGAGGAAATTCCTATTTTTCAAAATAAATATATAAGGATGAATCATGTACAGTATAGCTTTGATTGGTATTCTAGAATTAGAACCATTTTTTTTAGTGTATTGATAAAGTATGTGTTTTTACAAGAGCTTTTTGGACAGAGAGACAAAAGAAGCAATAAGAATTGACACACTAGTATTAAGAGGACAGAGCCATTGCTAGTGGCAAGGTCATTTCAGGCCCTTGCCCAAGACTCCAGAGACGTGTGTGCCATACCTGAGCTTGAAGAGATATCCTATCAGCTGAATTTGTTAATCACAATCCCACTGAAAGCTCTCTAGACTTCAGCCTCCAAAAGCATCTGTGATTGAAGGGTCAGGGAGACAGGAAGAATGCTAAAGACAACCTGACTGTCTGTTCATGACTGTTTATTGACACCTTTCATCCTCTGGCTTCTGCTTCCAAAATCAAACCTGGATCACCTAGTTTTATGGACAAGGAATTCCCAGGTATACCAGTGGCCACCATGGTACCCATCGTTTGCTCTAGCATTGTTTTATGAGCAACCATATTCCCCAAGCAGGTAGCCAGCACTGAAAAAAACTGAAGAGCCTCTTAGCTACCTGATGGTCAAAGGAATGTTCTATGAGCAATTATGTTGACACATCTGCCCCACATCCCTTTAAAGTTAGCCCAGTACCTTCTCACACACCCTGTGCTGGTGTTTTAAAAATGTATCTTATCATGCTCAGAATGTGTTTGGTAGCCACACTGATTGGCTGGATGCTGAACCACTTCTCTGTAATTGTAACATCAAAATGACAACAGTACAGAGCTGTGAATTTTGCACAATCCTACAGCATACCTGGGACAAGAATCCAGCAAGTAATAATTAGCTTTCTTCCTTTTGCCGCCTACAGTACTTGTCTAACTTAAGAACTTCCCACAGCAGAGGCCACATAGAGAATCCAGATGTCATTCAGAGACAGCCCTTGCTGAAATGTGGTCTTCTGATGGAAGCACCTGTCTTTATGGGTGGAAAAGGATCAGATGTAACGCCAAACCAGAGAAAATGCTAAAGGTGAACCATACTGAGGAACTTTGAATGTTTTTCAGAGTAATAAAGTATTGTTCTTTGGAGGAAAAAAAATTCAGAAATATTTCACAACTAATATTTTTACAAAAGTGTAGCAGAACATTACAAAATGAAAATATCTTTCAAGGTGAAATGCTTTAGAAAGCAGAGGATGAGCATAGTCCTAGATACATAGAAGGGTAGCAGTTAGCTGAGTTAATTGTGTCAAAATTTGCGTTAGTGTAGTCAGTGAGAACCAGAATATTGATAACCAAAATGTCTGAGGTACCTGAGGCAACCCAGACTGGCTATGACAGGCTGCCATTCTGTGTCAATCGTTTCTACAGTCATCCAAATGGACACCTAGAAGCAGCTAGCTTTCTTGGGTATTTAAATGCCAGGATCAACCTGGGATCTGAAAAAATATATCTAGTTATTCTAAAATATACGTGTATGTGGGGTGTGTGTATACGCGCGTGTGCACATATCTACATATGTAAAGATAGACTCTCACATAGAGACCCACATGAGCTGGCAGTTGCTGAGCATTTACAGCCTTGAAGATGGAAAATTTTTTTAAAAGAGGCTGTTGATTGCCTACTGAAAGATCAAAGATGTAAATTAAGTGCCATTTTAAAACTGTGTTCATATTACCAAATAGATATCTGCAGCTGTGTTCCTTATTAACTTATTAAAAGTCTTGTTGGAAAAAAAAGATCAGTCCCATAAATGATTAGTAGCTAATGCTAGGCTAGTGTTCAAAAGCACTCTAAAAATCATTTTGTCCATATTTTGGGAAAGAAACTATTTGCATGTTTAATTTATAATTTAGGCTACCTTTGATTGTACTGTAAAGTGCTGTGTGATATAATATCAATAAAGTACTTCTAAAATGGCACTTTAATGTTTTCTTTTTACAAACACCATAAATAACGCACTGTTTTAAAACTTTAGTATTGAATATTGACTGGTGCATAGAATCAAATTCCATAATTAAAAGTAATCTGTGACTACAGTAGATTTTTTCCCTGTTATTAGAGAAACAGTTTGCCATGTTCAGGCTTTTCTAAAAAATGTGTTTTGTGTCACTATGTGTATCTATAAAGAAAATGCAGTTTCTGCTGAACGGCCTCTGAATCTTAGCTTTCTTACATTTGGTTGGTTTTTGTGACAATTCCTATGAAATGAGTGGAAGTATGATTTTTGAATTAAATGACTTTTCCATTTGGTGGTATGTTTGTTTCTTGAGTTTCTGATACATTTTGACTTGGAAAATGTTTTAACATTTCTTCAAATAAGAACATAGACTATGATCAAAGAGGTGACAGGGCTGACTTTCTGATGAACTCTGAGGAGCTTTGTGTTCCAGTTAGGTTTTTCTTTTTGCAGTGCTGGGGATTTGAAACTAGGGCTTCTTGCATTCTAGGCAAGTGCTGTACCACTGAACCATATCCCCAGCCTTGTTTTCTAGTTTGGAAGAGGTCAAATGCCCTTACACTTGAGAATATACTGTACAACTAAGCCTCAAAGAGTCATTCAGTATAACATTGCTGACTTTATCTCCTAGAACATGTATTGTTTTATTCTTCTTAAATTCAGTTTTCTAATCAATGACTCTTTCATGGAACTTCCTGAACACAGCATGGTGTAATCAGAAGAGGCAGAATACAAGCAGTCCCACCATACATCTGGTGCAAATGGTTGCTTGGAATTTGGAATGTGTTGCCCCAGGCCCACCCAAATCCCTGAGTTTTCTTATCCACCACACCCCTTTCAGGAACTTTCTGAGTTGCAACCTGGGTCCCAGGTTTACAGTGAGGCCCCAGCTTCTGCTGCAAGTTTAAGGGCCTTGCTGTCCTCTATAAAGGACAGAAATGGGGAACCAGGGCTCTGGAGACTGAAGGTGAGGCTTCTGACTTCAGGCGGTTGCTTAGGGGCAGAAGGAAGAAATAGGAGGCTTGCCCTGTAGGTAGGTCTAAGGAGGTGGTTGTTTGAATGTGTGGCTCACACATGAGATGCCACCGTTGTCCTCATTTGCCTTTTAAGGTGCTGGTTTACTTCCTGTGCACAACATAGACTACCCAGCATCTGGTCCCTTACAAGTCTGCAGACTCCTCTGGAAAACTTCCAGTACCCAGAGCCTCCTACATGGGTAGCAGCATTCATTACCTGGGTGAGGGTTCCTGAACATGGCACAGGTGTACTGATGCCATTCTGGAGAGAATGAACCACAGGGTATGTGTATCTTATCTATGGCCTTGACCTTTCCAACAGACTTTTCAGTCACTTCCAATTTTCACATCTCCCTAACATGAAAGGTTTTCATTTTCATTTTGCTTTTAGCAGCCACTCGGAGCAGAGCTCAAATAGTCATGTTCTGTGGTTTGCTCGGTATTTTTCACTTGTTAGTTCTGGCTGCATGATTAGCTTTAAGAGCACCTTGGTTAGAAATGGACTTGATTGACACTTGAAATTAAGCAAATGTTAGACAGTGGGTGTTAAAGATTTTTTCAGACCCCAAACATGTTTGCTCTCTTGACGATTATGTCATGGCTCTAATTTCTTCTTTTCTCAGTTCTTTCTCAGCCTCCACTCAGATACCACACATCTCTTCTACCCCCAATGTGTCAATGTCATTGGCTTGCCCTGCTTTTAATAGCACTAAGCTAAGCTGCAACTCATTAACTGTGCTGAGCTGATCTGTATTGGTGGCTCCAGCCTGGACAGCAGCCAGGGGAAGCTCTGACAACACTTGCTGCTTGGGGTGGGTGACACTGCTTGCAAGGAAGCTGTCCTTAGGATGGGGCATTGTCCACACCAGGGTGCCTTCCCCAGAACACCCTGAGGTACACAGCCACACCAAGACAGGATGGTTTTCAGTTGAAATGATCAGAATTGAGATCCGCTATATCCCACAGCACTTCGCAACTCCTTCACACTACATATCTGTCCAGTGTCTTACATAACTGACCCTGGAGGCCAGTCACAGCCTCTGTTACCTAAAATCCAGGTAACTAATGTCTTCTCAAGATCCACCGGCAAATCAGTGTAGATCTGAATTCATAGGTCCTTTCTTCAGGTACCAAATTGCATCCAGGTCTTGTGTCCACCCTAAAATTCAAATATGTGTTTTGACATTGGCTGAATGTCTTTATGCATTTTGTGGGGGTAGGTTATTGGAAAGATATTTCTTAAAATTATTTAGAGTGGTTTTTGTCTCCGAAACCTTCCTCTGTGAAAAAGAGCTGAAACAAACTGAGTTTCTTTAGATTTGGTTACTTGAGTACAGGGTAAATGTGACCCAGGCAAAACACTCCATTTGCTCATGGGCTAGGACTGAGGCCATCAGAGCAAGACCTCCCCGCTCCAGGCACACACAGCCATGTTCTTTCCTGGCTTCTTCACTGGGTGCATGCCACAAGGAACCAAGAGCCAAGATACCCTGTTGTCATCTGGGTTATGTAGGGCTCATTTTATGATCCTCACACCAAGCTGGGGCCTGCATTCAAGTAAAACCACACCAGAATCACCTCACACATTAAAAGTACTCCTTTCTAAAGACTCTTCGAGGAAATTCCACACAGTCCCATGGGAATTTGGTCTGGTATCCAGAACTCTCACTAAGGGAATTCTTTGTGTCTGGTTGAAATTTCCCATGTTTCAGCTTAAATCTGTTTCTGTTCAGATTTTCCTAGAATGGACAATAATTGACCATCATCCTTCGAGAGCGATCACCCTCCTCCATCCTATGCTTCCATTCAGCAGTCACTTCTCAGCCACCTCTTGTGTGCCAGGAGCTCTCTGTACATCAGGAAGTGGAGGACGAGATCTCTGTCCTCATAGAACTCTCCGTATACTGGAGAGGTGGCTGCCATGTGGGGAGTAAGAACCAGAGAAAGCTGCTCAGAAGAGATGGCATTCAAGAAGCACCTTGAAAGATGGAAAGGAGTTTGCCCCTTAGGCAAATGGAGAAGTGTCACAATCAAAAGGACAGCAAGGACCAAGGTATGAAGGTAGGGGTGAGGGTATGACTTCAGTACCACAGGAATGTGAAGAGATTGGGCTTTCTGGAGAAATGAAAACCAGTCACCCTTGCCCACACCCTACCTTAGCATTTGGGCTTCTGTTTTCCCTCAGCAACATTAGCCAACATTTATCACTTCCTACTGGGCACCTGGCACTGTGTGATCTTAACTCATTCAAATCTCAAGACACGTGAACGAAGTATGCGATTACTACCATTTTATAGTGAGAAAACTGAGTATCAGGAAGGTCACACAAACTAGGAAGAGGTGAACCTAAAATTCCCACATTGGTCTGTCTGCTTCTAGAGCCCATTTGGCCTTTTAAAACTTCCTTAATTTCTGGACTGGGAATGTACCCCAGTGGTAGAGTGCTTGCCAAACATAAGTTTAATCTCTAGCACTGTAAAAAAAAAAGTATCTTTAGATACATGTGACTTTCCATAAATGCATACACCTAATCACATCATAAGTGATTATTTTTTAATTTGTTGAGAGTTTGTGGCTTGGCTGTCCCATCCCTCCCCTGCAGTCTCCTCCCTCCCCAGAACTGATGGCAGCAGCTACCCTTTGCCCTTCCCAGCAGAGAGCCCTTCCAAAAGCACAGCCTCTGGCAAGCACACAGCTTTGGCTTTGCAGAGGCAGGAATAAGGGCTAGCTATGTTGTTATTGAAGAACTTTGTTTCTTCCTTGGAGCCCTTTGCTCACTCATCTTGGGTGAGTAGTCTGTGCGGACATTCCTGGTTCTCTGGGTAGCCCCAGGGACCCCAGCTGCAAGCCTTGGCCAGTCCTGTCACCCTTGAGCACACTGCATGGAGACAGCCCTTGCTGAAGGCCCAGCCATGTTTTGCTGACTGAAAATAAGTAATGTGAATTTTGTTTTAACAACTTGAAAACAGTCTTTTTCCCCACCCTGATCCAGCTGCTGAGGACAGACCTACTGGCTCTTGTGGGATTGCCAGGGAAATCCCATGAGCTTGTGTCTTCTTCTGGGAGAATCAGTTTCTAGTGTTCTCTGCTATTGTTCAAAAATAGACAGTTTTTGTGACATTTTTAACTCATTCTTCAGCCTCGTGAGATTTAGGAAAAGTCAGAGCTATAGGAGAGATCAGAGAACTCAAAGCAGATGACAGGTGAGATACTTTAGGGCACAGGAAGTTCTGACTCCACTGAGATGGCCTCCTAGACAGAGCTATTCGCACAGGCTCTACAGTCTCTGAAGGGCTAACCTGCTGCTTGCTAAAATGACAATGGGGATGTAGGTCTCATTTATGGAGCACTTCCATTTTACAGGCATCAGATGAATTGATTTACATACATCATCTCATTTGATCAGCTCTATGAAATTGGTACTGGTGTTACTCTCTTTTGCAGATGAGGAAGCCAAATATTAGATTGGGCAATTTATTCAAAGTCATGAGTTAAGAAGTAAAAGGGCAAAAATTTGACCCGAACTGACCCCAGAGCTTGTGCTCTTAACTCCCATACTTCCTAATTCTGGGAAGGGCTCCGAAGCTCCAGCCCCTGATTGCCCTTTAATTTTCCATCCAGGGGAATAGCTGTTGTTCTTATCTGTCTGGCTTTCTGCAGTACCACTTCTGGTGTCAGCACCTGAGTTTCTTTAGGGGAGCAGCCTGTACTTCCCTAAGGTCCCAAGGGTTGTATGGCCTGATATCAACTCTGGAACCAGTAGTGACCTTGTGGCCTTTGGCTGGCCTGTGAGATCATCAAATCCACCCAGCCAAAGTGATTGGTTGATTCAGTAATTGACCCTGGCCTAACTAAGTCCACAGTGTTAGGGCTTTGTTCCTGGGCCAGGTATATAGGACACAGCAGGGAACTCCTAATATCAGTGAAGAATAGTAAGCCTATTGCCCACACCCTCAGATGGCTTCTTAGCATACCTCTGTCCACCACTTGTCTTTATTTGGAGGCCCAGGGTGAGGGGCCCCTGCTTTAGGAGGACTCTGTTAAGAATATAATAACGGGGCCGGGGATTTAGCTCAGTGGTTTCGCTGCCTGCTGTGCAAGCACAATGACCTGAGTTCTATCCCTAGTACCAAAAAAAGAAAGAAAGAAAATATATATATAAAATAACATATCTGTTAGAAAAGTCACTTCTTCAGAGGGCAAGCAGAAAATTTAAACTATTTATTGCAAAAAATGGCTAAACACTGTTCTAGTTTGATCAGTCCTGCAATTGGTC